GTTTCATGTAGTGAAAGGAGAGTTTGTCTGTTCGTGAAACCTTCCAGTGTTGCTGTTTGTAATCACTGAACATTTTAAGCTTTTGGGATCTGTGAACCTCTAGCAGAGTGGCAGCAAAGCTGGGTGTGGACACAGCTTTTCTCAAAGGATATTTAGACACTGCTAAACATTTGAGAGCAGCAGCCGAGCCAGTGTTACTGCCAGAGATCTGCAGGAGAGTCCAGCCAGAGCAGGAGAACATCAGTTCATCACCAGGCAACAATAAAAATAAAGAACAGCTCGATCACGCGGAAAAATGGGGTCAACCCTTAGAGTTTTCGGAATCCATTGTACAGAGAGATCAAATTTTAAAAAGAAGCTGAAACACTGATTGGAAGTCACTGAGGGTTAAACGATTAGTTCTCTGGGCTCCATGTGGGAATCCTTTCCTTCGTCTCTGAGTCATTATCAGGCACTAACTCGTGTTCTCACTCGTCACTGTCTGAACACATCGCTGCACAAGGAGTGTAACTCTAACTGTTATTAAAGCTACTTTTTGTGATTATCTGCTGCAGAACGTAACGGCAGCTGTCACCAGCAGGGGGCAGCGTTTCTCCAGCGAGTCTTGTTGCTGTTTTTCTGAACCCAGGCTCGCCTTTACCTCACCACTTCCTAATGCTCAGGTTAAAACACAGTCACAAACAGGTGCTATCCACAGTCTGACCTCTGACCTCTGACCCTGTCAGGTCACAAAGGGAACAGGGCACAATGGTTGCCATGCCGCTGGGCTGAAACAGGAAGTGGCCACGGCTCTGAGGACGTTGAGAGACAAGTTGCTGGCCGAACAGAAGGAGGAGGTGAGTCCGAGCCCGAGCCCGACCAGCAGATCGATGACCTGAAGCTCATCTGTGTGTGTGTGTGTGTGTTTGCTGCAGCGGCTGGCTGGCAGCAGCTGCGTGGCCCAGCGGAAACATCTGGAGCGCTGGGAGCTGCAGGAACGCTCGCTGCAGCAGCTCGGCAGCTTGAGGGCGTCGCTGGAACGAGACGTTCACGGTACGCAGAGCTTTAACGGAAACACAACGGTGCTGCTCACAGCCTCACATCTGGGTTTCATTTAGAGTCAATCTTTATTTCACAACTTTGTCTCTGTTAGGTTTACGTCCAACAGATTTGTTCTTGAAAATAAAGAAACAAATTTATATATTTGTGTTAATTATATATTTGTCAGTGCGCCCCAGGGTGGCTGTGGCTACAATGTAGCTGCCATCACCAGTGTGTGAATGGGTGGATGACTGGATGTAGTTTAAAAGCGCTTTGGGGTCCTTAGGGACTAGTAAAGCGCTTTACAAATACAGGCCATTTACCATTTGCAGGAAAAGCCAGGCTGGTTTTCTAAGTAATGACATTCCTCATTAGCCTCATAGTGAATCTTTTACTCTGTCGTGAAGACTTTAAAACTTTGAATAGAAAAGATGTGAAGCTAATCGCAGCTGTCAGTAATCTTTCCACAGCCCTGAGACTTTACTTCCTGTAGAGCCTGTAGACTGAAGGCTGTTTTGTGCTGCAGTGAAGGAAACAGGTGCGTTTCATTTATGACACAAAAATCAGAGCTGTTCTGTGAAAAGTGGAGCGTTTGATCACAGTTGTCTGGTTTTAATAATCAGACCTGATTGATCTCTCAGCCTCACCTTGTTGTGGCCTCTATCTGACTCTACCGGGCTCAGAAATTTCTTCCACTTTGTTCTGGGGACAAACGCCTCGTGTTAGCCCACACTCTGCTTTGCTTGTTGTACAGCTCTGAGCTCCGAGCTGGTGGCCCACCTCCTGGTACGAGACCAGCTGAGGACGAAGCAGGACGCCATGCTGCTGGACGTCCAGGACCTGACCTAACGCCAGAACGGCACGGCGGACACCTCGCACAGTCTCTGCCCAGTGCTCCTTCTTTCAGCCTCTCTGGGACCAGGCTGACTGCTCGGGCGTGTCAGCCCCTCAGCTGTTTACTGCGTCAGCGACAACCTGCCGGTTCATCTAAACTGACCAATCAGCACCATCCAGAGAAACGACGATGACATGATCCTGGAGGACTCACGTCGGTATTCACAGAAAGGAATAACGTTCATAACAGAGCTCAGATGTTGGGGGGTTTTTTGGTGAAGTCAGATTCATTCATCGGGACGGCCAATCAGCTGCTGGCTTGTGACAGTTTAAACCGAAGTCTCGGTCGTTGTTCTGACTCCTGACAATCGGGCTTGTTATGTTTCTGTTGTTAGAGCAGCTCGTTCATCTCACAGCAGCTCCGTATGTGACGCCCCGAGTTCATCCTCAGCCTCAAACAATCCTTGGAGCTCATGTTCCTTTAAGGCCCGCCTCTCTATAAGCACACTCTCTTCTGATTGGTCATCTATTAAGTCCCTTGTACGGAAACCTCAGATAATCTTCTTCATGTTTTTCAGCAGGTGACATGTTCATGCAGCATTTTCTCAGCATGTTTCCAGGATCACTAAATCGTTCTGCTCCAAAACTGCATGACAGGGGTCTTCATCTGCACCACAGATTTACAGGCTCGGCCTCTGAAAATGAAACTGACATTTTGGGAAAGGTTAGTATATTTTGCTGTGACGTTTGGAGAAAGCTGGAGCTTTTCAAATCTTTTTTGATACCTGTGCTCCTCTAAATGCTCATTTTAAGCCACCGTGGTAGCACGGTGTTATTATCCTCACTCTGTCCTACAAGAGGATTTTTGTGGAGACTTTATGTTCCTCAGAGGATCCATTGTCTTCGTCAAACAGCCTGTAACCGTGTTTTTGCCTTGAGACACAGGTCTTAAAGCTACAGGATGAAATTTGGGAGACATAATCATGGTCAGCAGACCAAAAACAATGACTTTGATAAACCCACGAGTCAAACGTTTGTGGTGAGCGACCCCCTGGAAACCTGCGGTTGCTATCAGTACATGTATATTCCCACCAAGTGGTGATTGGTTGCTGGTTATCACTGGGTGAAAATGGGTTGCAAAGGGAGCGCTGCACCCAAAAACCTCCCTGTGATTGATTTGGTTGCCACGTTTGTGTTGAAGACAACATGTCTGCAAACATTCACACTGAGCCAAGCGGTCGGGAAAGGCAAACAGGAAACTCCTACAAAGTAAAAGTTGTACCTTACTACTGAAAACAACACATTTCAAAAGGTGCAACTTTTACTGTGGAGGTTTCAGGTTTGTGTTGCACTTTCCTGTTTGCTTTACCACTCGGCTTGTTGGTCGAGTGTTTACAGGAAGAGAAGTCACATCACAGCTGGGAGCGACAGCCTGCCAAACCAACCACAAAGAGGCTTGTCGGTGTCTTCCTCTGAGCTCATCTACCAACCTCCAGCAACCTCACAGTTGGTTAAAACACATTTTTCTGTAGCACCTGGTGGTTGGTAGGTGGTTGCCAACCGGTCTCTAGACCTGTCCAACTTTGGACCTTAGACAACGAATGTTACTCAGTTCATTTAGAAGATGCATTTTGGTAAAACGGTGTTACTTTACACCGTGCTGAAAGCTCAGTGACTCATCGGTTCAAACATCCTCATCGAAGTCAAATTGGTCAACTTTCTGACTCCTAACATTACGTTCAGATTTGGGAGTTTGGTGATCAAATTTCATCTAAAAAAATCCCATTTTCACATATTTTCGCTGTGTTCTCTGAGTTGCGGCGAGACTAATTAGACATAATCAACAAAAGGGATCTAACTTATCTTATTTAAGTTTTATTGTGTTACTTACTGAACCACTTTTACCTGTTACTATAAAAAGGGAACAGCACACAGATATAAGCACGTGGAATTAAAGAGCTTACATGATATCTTGATTATTGGACATTATACTTAGTTTTTGTTTTGTTTTTTAATTAAAGGGGAATTTCACCCAAACTTGATGTCATCATCACATTAAAGCAGAAAATAAATAACTGAAACAACTTCAGACTAACAAAGTTGCGTTTCTGTCACAGTGGTGAAATTCCTCTTTAACTGATGCTAAACTCTTCAGGTACCGTCTGTGATCGCGCTATCGTTGTTTACTTTAAATGTAAGGGAAGAATCCACTGAATATAACCAACTATGTGCCATGATTGCTGCCTTACTTTCATTTTCTTCTTAAAACTAAATGTTTTGCATCTCATCCATCATGTGCTTTAAATAACTCCCTGAATCTGTTTTCATGAGCACAGTAGTCATTGAAACAGTAGTCGAGGATATTTAGCATTGTGCTCTCGTGCCTGTGATAAGAAGCTGAATGTCATTTACATTGAAAGCGATGTACTGTAATGAGAAATGTGCTTTAAAGTATATAAAGTCACACTGAAATGTGCTGTTTTGAGGTTGTGGAAGGTTATGACACTGATACAAGGCTGTTAATCATTTCACCGTGACTTTAAGAATATTTGGAGAAGTATTTTAAAATGTAAATAAAATTAACTACAAATATATTTGTATATGTAAACATTAATTCTGAAATATATTTTTAAAAGCAAAACTTAATGATGTCATATTACTGTGCTTTGCTGTAGTTCTTCATGTATGTGCATTTCTATGCAGATGATACCCAGGTTTATCTGCAAAGACACAAAAATCACTTCTTTTATTAATTTTAATGCCTTCGAGCAGGAGTGGGGACCTCCAGGCCTCGAGGGCCGGTGTCCTGCAGGTTTTAGATCTCACCCTGGCTCAACACACCTGAATCACATGATTAGTTCATTACCAGCCATTGAAATCGGCTGCGATGGATCAAGGACACATCCTGGAGTTCCACCCCTGTTTTAGACACATAAACACCTGCAGGATAAATTAGGTGTTTTATCTTCAGGCTATTGTATGCAGCCCTAAACATCTTGGTTCTTATCACTTCTATTATTCATAGAGTTTATAGTTAGGTTGGATCAGGTAATGTAAAAAAAATAATCAGAAAAATCATTATTATGATTATTATTTTTGTTCTGGGATTTGCAGGTCATAATAATCCTGGCTCCACTTCTTCCCAAAAAATGAATCAAAGACTTGGTGGTTATGGGAGCAGACAGCTTGTATTGTCAGATCCTGGATCAGTGCATCGGTTGTTTGATGTGGAGCTGCTGTTTCGAGCTCCAGCCCACACTTCTTCAGTCTGAGATGACTATATTAGAAGTATTTCCTTACTATGACATCACAGAGATCTGGGAGAAGAAAAAACTGAGATAAACTGTCATACACTGAGCTCGGTGTTAGAAACTTTGGCCGTGTTTAACAGGAGGAGGGGATGTGACAAGAATGAGGAGACCGCGGCTGTTTGAACACTGATCCCGCTGCCGTGTTTGATCACACTCAACACAGCTGATAGTGTTTGGTCTGCCCCTCAGCTCTCTGTTTATTTAGTATTTACTGTATGAATCAGAGCTGATGGTGGTGATGATGGAGAGAAGAGAGCGGACGGGTTAGAGGAGGAGGGGCTGATCCATTCACTTTTCTCTCTAATTAAAGCCTCAGATAACTGGAGGCAGAGCGAGGAGCTGAAAGCTTCAGGATCTCCTCCGGATGAGAAGGTGAGTGATCCTGTTTCCACACGAGAAGCTTTTTAAAGTCCACTCTGATCAAATTATTTTTAATTCCTTTGAACGTGTAGACTCTGAGGATTTATGAACATAAACCTTTGACTTTCTGGCTGCTTGTAGAAGACGAGGAGCTCATTAGTTGAAATGTGTGACTGATTTTATCTCGGGTCGTGTGGAGGACAGTTCATCACAATTACAGGAGAGTTGGCGTCGAGCTAATTTGTATATCCAGCATCCAAATACTTCATTCAATCAGCAATAAAAAGTAAAGACATTAAAACATCCTAATAAATTCAACAAATATTGGGTGGCATCAATATTTAAACTTGAGACATTAAAATATTTTATGTCTACTCTGAATTATTCAAACCTCGGCTGCTCGTGTAAAATCATTGGCGCTGTGAGCACCTCCTCCTCCTCTTCCTCCTCGCCCGCTGCAGTCCCTGTATTGGGTTTCATTCCTGCAGCTGTGGCTGAATGAACGCTGATCAATTATTTACAGAGAAGCTGAAGGTCAGGAGAGAGACCCAGAGAGACCCTTTGGGCCCGAAACAGAAACTTCTTAACCACAAGTCTACCAAGAAAAGCCGGAGGTGGAAGCTCAAAGGACGACAGGCTCTGATCCACTGATGCTCGGAAGATGAAGTACTAGAAACAGAATCAATTTCAGGCCAGATTCGCTTCAAATCTTTCAAACGCACCCTTAAATTTCCGTGGACCAGGAATGTCTTCATGGAAATCAGGCACCAGCTGACAGCTGCTGTCAGCTTCTGTCAGTTAATACCATCACAGGTGAGTCCACAAACATACAGACTGGATTTAATCCTCTGCTTGCCTCCAGATGAGATGGTGTGTTTGCTCACTTAGTAATGAATGATTGCTATAACTGATCATAATGAGAGTGATAAATTATAAAGCAACTTACATTTCCTTCTTTTAATTATAAAGAAGAATAAAAAAAACAATATAACCCCAACAAACGTTGTGTAAATAACAAACAAATGCAATGATTTGCAAAGCTGGTAAACCCATATTTTACTCACAACACAACAAAGAAAACATAAAAAGTTTAAACTGAGACTGTTTCATGAAAGATGTAATGGCAGCAACACATCTGTAAAAAGTTGGAACAGACTCGTGTTTCCACTGTGCATCAGTCTGTAAACGTTTGAGAGCTAACAGCAGCTGCTGGGCTCACAGAGGAACGCTGTCCTGTTCTGGTTTGATGGAGGTTTCTAGCTGCTCAGCAGTCCTGGCTGCATGCATAGATTGTGCATGCAGCATATGAATGCATAGATTAGTGTGTAATTGTGTATTCTGAAAAAGTAGCCAACATGGAGATTGCTGTTCTATCCGTTCATGCTTTAAAATATGTGGCTAAACACTGCCAGTGTTTAGCAGCTAACAAAGGTCAGTGGAATCTAACAGAGGCTAACAGCAGCTAACAGAGGCTAACAGCAGCTAACGGAGGCTAACAGCAGCTAATGGAGGCTAACAGCAGCTAATGGAGGCTAACAGCAGCACACTGATAAAAAAAAGTTAAGGATGTTCTCTACAATTCACCTCGGTATTATTGTCATTGTACAGAAGGGAGCTTTACTGTCTTTACGGCTCTTATCAGGCTGCTTTCACAACTTTTACAGCCTCTTCCAGGGTAATTAGATTTGGCCATATACTGAGAGGTGAGGTAAACAGCAGACTGACAGCCCACACTTACTACAGACGAACAGCTGTTTGCCCTACTGTGGCCACCATACCTAAGATTATGCCCTTGAGTTGCCCTTGCCCACAGAGATTTCGCACAAGTCGCATAAGTCAGAGTAATACAAACATTAGATGGTTACCTAGGCAACCAGAGCATGTCCTATGAATGCCCAGCGTGATAGTGTAACCACCCATCAGCAAATCAAATCACTTCCTCTGTGGATGATCCATAATTAAAGGATGAGAGTAGAACTTCATGCAGCAATAACTTCAAGGTAGCCCAGCCCAAAACTTGCCCTGGCTTCTGTGACTGTAATGGGACAATGGTAAAGATCTAAAGGTAACTGAGACCATGAATTCATCAGAGTGCTGTACAGTGGACTCATTTGCTTCTCCTTCTCCTTATAATTATGTCAGCTGGTGTAGCAAAATAAATATCAGATCAATACAGTAAAAATATTTGCATTATACACTCAGACTAATTTTTAAAAGCAGACTGATCACCAAAATCATTTATTTTCTGGGGATCATGAATGCTCTTTTAAATTTCATGATAACCCATCTGATAGGTCCTGTTTGGAATAAAGGGCCAGATTTACTAAGTGAGGCAAAAATAGGAGCACTTGGTTTTACAGATGATTTACAAAAGTTGCTTTTTCTAAACACAGTTAAAGTTGTTTTCAGCATGACATGCCCAATCTGCCAAAACCTGCATGATTTGGTTTGTTAAAAGGAATCAGAAAAGTACATAAGTAAAGGTCACAGACGCTCTCATGTTGACCACAATAATGAAAATAAGGAGAAGCAGCGAAAAGAAAAACTTTCTGCACCTGAACTGGAGGTCCTAGTTGACCGAAACAACATGTTTAATGAAAATCTGAGCGTTCAGTCTGGCTGTCAGAGAGCTATTCTTTTTTAGAAAGGGTGAATGCAGTGCAGCTCCACTGAAGACGTTAAGAAAGGTGGAATGATTGAGGCGACTCACAAGACCAAAAACTGTACAACAAGGTGTCAGCAGAGGAGACGGTTGTAGGTCCTGTGGGTGAAGTACCAAAACAGTCAACACTCATTGGTTCAGATCTGAACAGGTAACAGGAGTTACCTGTTACAGAGTGTTGAGCTCGAAGAGTTTTCTTCTTCTTCGGCCATGTTCTCTCAATAATGCGCACACTTGGTTTGTTGCTTACTTTTCCCTTTTTCTTTATTGACAGCAACACCGGAGGGAAAAACATACATTCATTTTTGCAGTTCGCGCTTCAAAACATCCGGAACAGGAAGTGAAGTCACCTATAATCACCAAAATAAAATCATTTCCAAAATAAGATGACAATCAGAAAACGTCTTTTACAAAATAAGATAAATTAATATATTTACTTATGAGAACACAAATCTAACATGCAGCATCTGGTTTAGCAAAAATCGGTGGCTCAACAAGCCACACGTGAAATACTGTGGACTCACCTGAAGACCAACCATCTCCGTACTTTCTAACCTGCAGGTTTTTAAAATGTTTGTTATTCTGGAAAATGAAGACTTTGTGAACAGACCCTGGATGCTTTGCTACAGTGTTGTAATAATGTACATAATGTTTACGGATTTGGAGACTATTTGCACATAAACTGAGTGTGTGTGCTTCTTATTACACAACCCACACTCAGTTTCACATGGGACAATTAAAAATACATGTGTTCTGTCAATTACTCCAAAGATGGGAATCCTGCTGAACCGGCTAAAGGGCGTGCCCAGAAAGACACATACTCTGAACTCTTCTCGTCAGTCACATCGAGACCAGGCCATATTTGAGACCAGGCCATATTTGAGACCAGGCCATATTTGAGACCAGGCCATATTTGAGACCAGGCCATATTTGAGACCAGGCAAATGGAAACAAAGGCAGTCTTTAATCTCTGCAATGCCTCCACACAGCAATAACTGCCATCACATCAAGCTTTTTTCCGGCGTTGAATATCCCTGCAAATAGCAATAAAACAGGTGTTGTGAAAGTTAGTAAATCCAACTGTGTGCTTGATTGAAGTATTCTTCTCTCTATAGTTTTGATCTTGACAAAGGAAGTCCCAGAAATCCATATCTAACAGAGTCAGTTGCAAAAATCCCAGAGTTCCCACCTCTAACACAGAATGTCGTCAATCTCAGCAAAACCACGTTTGTGCTGGTGCAACACACTAAACATCTTCATATGTTAGCTTGTAATCAAGTCACTTCTATTTTGACCTCACACTTCTTCTTTTATAAGATTTATATTTGATCATTTTAAACAGTTAAAAATTCCGAAACACAAACTTGACCCTAAGATGTGCACTGACACTCTGATCGCTGTTCAGAGGTTAGAGAACAATCTGCACGTGGAACCATTAATAGCTCAACTAATAAACATGGAATATACTCTAAAAATAACACCCTGTGCTTCAGCTGTTTCCTCTCAGAGACTTTGTGTTTTTACACGAAGCCACTATAATGTGCAGTATATAAATTCAAAGTAGAGCTCACAGCTGAGTTTCTACCCTACTGTATACTGACTTTAATCATACATATACATGACTCAGCCATTTGAGCAGCTGTGCACGGGGCGTCTTGACCCGCACTTCTTCAGTTATTGTGACACGGGCTTTAAAAAAACCTGACCCCAACATAGAACAGACCACCAGCCTGCTGTACGAACGGTCTGGAAAGTTTCATTAATGATTGAGGGGCTAATTGAGCGAGACAGAGTCTTCATCAGCATAACGTTGGTGGTACATTCTGAACAACCTTTCCCGAGAATAATGAGGCAATAAGGCTGTGTTTTCTTTGCTCTCTTTCCCTCTCTTGTCACAGAGACATGGATCAGTCAACATTGAGCCGAGACCGAGGATGGATAGATGGCTAGATAGATAGCACCTGAAGAGGAAGGAGCTGAGATGATGCCAGACAAGCCTGAACTAATCCTCTTCTGCCACAAATAGCCTCAGCAGTTCATCATGGGGTTGAGTCAAACCTCAAGCATCACCCCAGACATCAGCTTGCTGGCGGCAGTTGTGGCGAGCAACCATCTCAACACGTCAGGCACCTCGCACACCTCGACACTCCCTCTGCCTTCATGCAGTATCGATGAATCCTACAAATATGTCTTCCTACCCGTCTGCTACTCGCTGACCTTCCTTTTCAGCCTTACCCTCAACTCAGTGGTGCTCCTGCGCTCCTGCTGCCATCATGGACGTCGTTGGAACACTTCACTGATCTATATGGTGAACTTGGCCACCACTGACCTGATGTACGGCCTGTCTCTGCCCTTCCTGGTGGCAAGCTATGTGCTGAGGGACTGCTGGGTGTTTGGGGACTTCATGTGCCGCCTCGTACGCTTCCTGTTCTACTTCAATCTCTACTGCTCCATCTTCTTCCTTACCTGCATCTCTGTGCACAGGTAGGACAGCCTAGAAACAGTGCAGCAAAATGAAAATGTAAAAGTTTATCTTCCGCATAAATGTTGTCTAAACTTTAACCAAAATACCAGAAAATCTGCACAATAAATACAAAAAAATGAAGGTTTTGTGAATATTTGGATTTAATGTAAGACTTTGTGAGTTTAATTTAAGTTTCCTGTCACGACCAACTCTCAGAGTTTACCAAGAGTTGGTTGTGGCAGATTTTCAGTTGGTGCCATTAAAGCTCAAGTTAAAGTCGGCTTGATGGCATCTTGCTGCTTTTTGTTGTTTATCAAATTGTTTTGTAATCGTTGTTATTATGAGACTGGTTTAGTAACTCAGATATCCAGCTCCTCCCCCTTTGTTTCCAGCTCATAACCAGAAGCACACTTTCACCGACACTACAAACAAATAATTACTGCTCATATTATTTCCTGGTAATGTTAATTTTTGATGGATTTCTCATCTTTGCTATTTGAACTTTGACTGGCTAACAGGAAATTAGCAAGCTATCAGATTCTTCTGATCTTTGAGCCCATCGGAAGTTGATCAGATGTTTGCAACAGGTGAGCTGATGGGTTTGACCTCAAAGCTTGTGATCAAAATAAACTGCCGACCTAACCAAAAGCCATTCTGTTAAAGAGCCACATAATTGTTCAGTAGGTTTGAATGGGTAAGCTTCAGCTGATAATTCGACCCCTGATAATCTGAACCTGACATCGTTGTCATCAGTCCATACTAAATAAAGGCTAGTTCTCATTTGCTCCATTAGCTCACTACCTCTAAGGTAGGTGTGGTTTATCTGTTAGTTTGTTAGCGGGATCACCTGATATGTTGCAGTCAGATTTGCATAAAAATACTATTTATGTGAAAGGTTGGCTTATACGTTAGTAATCAGGTGCTGAACTGAGATGAGAAGCTGTTTCCTTTCAGATCAACTCTTCTATGGATTTTTGACTTTCTGAGTTTTCTGTTATTTCTGTTTGATGGCTGAAAACAGTTTACATGAACCTCAGTGTAAATGCTGAATAAGCAGAGGTTAAACTGATGGACTGAACTGACCACTAGTCGTCTCTCCACAGGTATCTGGGGATCTGTCATCCAATGAGGACCATCACACTGGAAAGTAAGCGGGTGGTGAAGGGGATCTGCGCATTAGTTTGGGTGGTGGTCTTCATTCTCACCTGCCCCATCTTCAGGTTCGCCCAGACCGGATACGTTAGGCGCAGAGCTGGTGAGGCTGTTGAGCCTGGAGAAGGGAGCGATTATGGGAACAGAACTGGAGACCAGGTCGGCGAGGAGTACATAAACTGCTGGGATGATGCCATAGATAAGGAGTTTGCAGACTACGTCCCATATGGCATTGTTCTCCACCTTCTAGGTTTCTTTGTGCCCTTTGTCATCATTGCCTGGTGCTACTCCCACGTGGTCCGGACAATATTTCAGACCCTGCGCTCTCCTCCCAGTTCAATAGAGGGTGGCGAGGATGGACCAGTGGGTGACGGGTCTGTGGAAGGAGTTCGAGGGCGCGAGAGAACCTCCGTCTCTATTTCTGGCTCACAGTACTCACACTACATCCGCCGGCGGCGGAAATCCATTAAAACCATTGTCACTATCACACTGCTGTTTGCACTCTGCTTCCTACCCTTCCATGTGACTCGCACGCTCTTCCTGCTCCTGCGGCGGGGACAGCTTGGCGGCTGCAATGCCATGAAGACCGTCTCCATCTGCTACAAGGTCACCAGACCTTTGGCCTCCTGCAACGCATGGCTCAATGCTCTGCTCTACTTCCTCACGGGCGATAAAGGTGGCCCCAGCTGCTGGCCAGCCGAACGCACCATCCATCGAGACCGCCGGAACGGCTCCCTCTGGTGGCCGCTGAAGATCCTCAAAAGAGATGGAGTGGGAGAAGACGATCACGAGGTGGCCGAGAGGGTTGAAAGGGAGGTGCACATAGAGAACGAGTCCAAGTCCTCCAGAGTTATCTTCTAGGATGCCATAGATCCTCAGTGGGTTACAGGCCATGTGGGATTGCTGTTTTTGATTTGAGGATGTCTACAGACTCCTCAATGCACCACACATGGCATCGGTAATTTCTTAAGAAGAAGCATTTCCAACTTGTTAAAGCATACGAAAAAACTGCAGCGATACCTGGCCAGACGTTGTTACCAGTCAGTCTGAACACTGGAATTGTTTGTAAAAATGAAAACAGTGACAAACTGATGGAGGAGATGGTGTCTATTTCAAATATTCTGTAACTGAATTGTAAACAAAGCTGTCAAATTGTTAAGTCCCAACAACAGAAACTCTGATATATTTATTCTTAATTTAGTGATTTGAGCTCCTGATGATTTCATGACCAGCAGCAAAGTGAGCTTGGTTCCTCCCCACTGTTGCCAAGTGGTGCTTATATGGGATGATCTGATTGTTGAGGTCCTTTCTTTAAAATAGTAGGCTATTTACCTTAAGTGCATTAAGAGGAGCTTTTCCATGTTGATTTGCCCGTTGATACTCTCAGTATGGATGATTCTGAAATGATTAGCTACCTGCATTAATCTGTTTTTATTTATTGTATTTATTTCTTTGACTCGCAGGCAGCCGCTCTCGAGCCCTGTAGTGGCTTTCACAAAGCAGAAACATTTCACTTCACACAGGAGGGAGGGACAATTTTTTGCTTTTAACGAATAAATCAAGAATTTCAACAATTCACAGCTGTATCGTCAAAGCTTGAAGGGAGGGCGGCTCGCGCCTTTCTCCTTCCGCCTTCCTTCGACAGTCCAAACACATGTATGCCTGGCTGTCTCATTGTGCTACACCTGCCCAGGTGCATGTCACCTTTGACAGCTGGGATAGGGTTGTGACCACAGCGGCGCTGCTTTGGATAAGTAGAAAAAAACAGATGGATGGGTTTGCAATGTTGAAAATACATATGAATCCTTTTTTATGTACTTTAATCTCTCAGAAAAAAGGCAGAGAAGAAAAATATTTGTACATGAATCCAGTGAAGGCCAAATTTGATTAAAGCTGCATGTTAAATATCTGTGAAATATGTTGAAATTTAAACAATAAGCATACAGATCACAAGGACACGGAGTCCTGACCAATCAGTAGAAACTGCTGTGTCCGTTTTAGTCAGTTTAGAAACACACTGTGTTTTCAGCACTGAGTTATTAACATTTTAAAGTGACCATTATGATTTTATGCTGTGAGGACTTTTGCACCTGCTGACTGCAGCCGTGCCGGCCCGGCTGTTTGGATGGATCTCCTTCAGAGGCACGCGCTGCAGCTTCCTGTCATGTTGTTGTCCAGCCTGGGTCACTCTGTGATATCACACCTCATTTCTTTGATGTGTTTGTGGGACTTTGTCTGGATTAAAGTGGGTTGTTGAACTCAGCTCTCTGTGCGGCCTTGTTTGTGGATCTGTCTTTGCTCAGAAATGTTTAATCAGCTTTTTCAGAGACAAATCAGCCGGGCTTCTGCTGACATCATACAATAACTAATACTAAGCAGCCTTCATGTCATCACTGTTATTTATTACACAGTTTTAGATTCTGGGTGAAACTTTCATACAAAGTCCAGCTGAAGCTGACAGGATACTAAACTGGTGGCTGAGTGGTGTCACTGCACAGGAACACGTCTCCAAAACATCCCAGACATAATCAAGCAATTGTGTTTTCACTGTTAAACAAATGTTAACCTCAAACTATCATCAGAGAAACAAAGGTTAAATCAGAGGCAGCGGTTTCCCTCTCTGTGTTCATCTTTCACTCATGTTCCAAATGTGCTGCAAATACATCTTCACATCACCAAAATCAGAAGAAAGTGGAAAAAAACTCACATCTGACGTTATTTTTTGTACACAGATTAAATAGCACCAGAAATCTTTGGCACAACTTCACCTACTTCTAAGGTGCATGCATGAGAAACTAACACCACACAGGTGTCGAACTCCAGGCCTCGAGGGCCGGTGTCCTGCAGGGTTCAGATGTGTCCTTGATCCAACACAGCTGATCTAAATGGCTAAATTACCTCCTCAACATGTCTTTAAGTTCTCCAGAGGCCTGGGAGCTTGAGGGTCCTGCAGTATCTTAGCTGTTCCCAGGACTGCGCTCTTCTGGACAGAGATCTCCGACGTTGTTCCCGGGATCTGCTGGAGTCACCCTCCTAGTGCTCCGATTACCACTGGGACCACCATTCTCAAGCTTCTCGTGTTCCTTCTTCCTGATGTTGCTGTCATTCAGGGTCACTACATCGATCACTACGGCCGTCTTCTTCTGTTTGTCTACCACCACTATGTCCGGTTGGTTAGCCACCACCATTTTGTCCGTCTGTATCTGGAAGTCCCACAGGATCTTAGCTCGGTCATTCTCCACCACCATAGGGGGCGTGTCCCATTTTGACCTCGGGACTTCCAGGTTATACTCGGCACAGATGTTCCTGTACACTATGCCGGCCACTTGGCTATGGCGTTCCATGTATGCCCTGTCTGCAGGCATCTTGCTGTTATGTGCAGCCTGCAGCTGGGGTCTTGTCTGGTGTGGCAGACCCCAGCCTCCATGGACTTAGAGTTTGTTCCTATGCTGCCATGTTTAGTGTTTTCCAACACACACACACACACACACACACACACACACGTGTATTTTTGACTAATACAGTGAGCCGTCTTTACCAGAAATGACATTGTATTGTCCAGGCTTTCTCAGAGCTAACAATTAGATTCTTTTTCCGACACATGCTGGCAGACAAGCATTCCTGAGTTGCACTTAGAGCATATCTGTGTAGTGGACAGAATTAATATTACACCAACTGCAGACAGTTATTCTGGAGACACAAAAAACAGTCTGTGTGGACTCATTAAGTTTATTTACAGGAGCCGTGCTGTATAAACACGACAGAAAGAAACCTTAAGATTAGAAAGGAAACAAAACTGCAACACGACTACAGCATGTGTGGTGAGCTAACACAAAACAAACACGGATCTCACTCCCACCAAGATAAACTAAGCTTTACACAGTGAACACTTTTATTACTTACTAAACTAAAAATAACCAAAACAAACAAGTAAAATGACGAGATGGACGACAAATAGTGAGTTTCCCTCTAAAAACAAGAGCTGATGCAACATTAAGGTATTTTATTAGGAGGGTGGTGCCTCCATAACTTCTCTCACTACACCCAAGATCTTCAACAAAAAATCAGAAAATTAAGGAACTCATTGAACTAAATTACCAAAGAAAAACTTAAAGCTTATCACAGAACAGAAACAGTGACGATTATAACTGATCCTCTTATGGCCTCTGACAGCGGACTAATCTCTGTGATTGTCCAGGCCCCATCTTATCTTAATGACCTTGTAGTACCATATCACCCTATTAGAGCACTTCGCTCTCGCTCTGCAGGCCTACTTGTTGTTCCTAGAGTATTTAAAAGTAGAATGGGAGGCGGAGCCTTCAGTTTTCAGGCCCCTCTTCTGTGGAACCAGCTTCCAGTTTGGATTCAGGAGACAGACACTATCTCTACTTTCAAGATCAGGCTTCAAACTTTCCTCTTTGCTAAAGCATATAGTTAGGGCTGGACCAGGTGACCCTGAATCCTCCCTTAGTTATGCTGCAATAGACGTAGGCTGCCGGGGATTCCCATGATGCACTGGGTGTTTCTTCTTCACTCACTATGTGTTTATACACCTCTCTGCATTTAATAATTAGTGCTTATTAATCTCTGACTCATCCACAGCGAGTCTTTGTCCTTGAAATAATGAACGTTTATTGTAACGATTGAGGTAGATTTGAGTGTACAATGTTTATTAGAGGCAGCTCTGCTAATCACAGCAGAGGGTGGCACTAGAAGGTGATTAAATCTACAAAGCTTGGTCCTCTGTGGAGCTGGAACCATGATTTCACAGTAATCTGATTACACTTTGAGAGTTCCCGTCAGCCCTGAATCATAGGATATCGCTGCAGGGATCAGCCCATTAAAAACACAGTGACCGTCCAAATCTCAGCATATAAAGTGCAGTTAGTGATAATGTCACTGTGTAGAGCTCACTCTGCCTGCTGCCAGCTGTGGGCAAACACATTTAGATTCATGCTGTGAGATGATTTCTGAAGGCCTGAGAATCAGCTTGATTGGCTCATTTAAAATGAGCTGAATCGACTCCTGAGAGGAAACGGGGCCTGCGATCCTGCCGCGCTCTGCGCTCTAATCACACCTTCAGACTGTGAGGTAAAACCTACTGCAGTGCTTCGCTTTCTGCCTGTCGGCGTCACAGATTTGCTTCTATTTGTGTCATCTAAAACCTGCCAACACCTCGTTGCACAGACTCACAGTCTCATCTCTGTAGCAGCATCAGTGCTGGAGGTCTCTATAACCTGCAAATAATCAGCACCGCCCTTCCTGTGTCTGTTTCTTCACAGGACAACTGTGAGCACTAACTGTCCTTTATAATAGTAATTAAAACTAAAAGCAAAGTGCCATTGTTATAAACTCCAGTCACATATATTAGTGACAGCTCTGGAGTCACACCAGTTTACATCACGGACTCACAGGGAGTAAAAGCAGCCTTCACAAATCAATATGTATTAAATACTTTGGACTTTTAGACCAATAAAATTCTGAGGTGTGTTTTCAACAGCGGCTTTAGCAGGCGAGAACATTTATCACACAGTAAGCACAAAAGTTGAAGCATTGGAATATTTGTAAGGTGGTTCTTGAGACCACTCTTTGTGTTCTGAGCTAAATTGGGGGCTCATCCGAGATTTGTGCATCCTATAAACTTTGCTTGTTCAATGATGCTGCTTTTAAGTGAAGTGTCGATGTATTTTGGTTTGATGACTTATTAGCCTTTATTAGCTGCAGCGGGAGTTTAAATATAAAAGGTTTTCATTGGCTAATCAGTATAATTACGGATGAGGGTGGAAGTCCTCAATCTAAGCAAGTGTAGTAAATTTGAAGAGGGGCAGAGGGAGCAGGCCTCTCAGGTACAGCCTGATGCGGCGCTAGAGACTCAGCTTCCTTTGCACACCTGCCCTTCACCGATTAATTGATCAGCTCCCACTCCAAGTCGCTGATCAGCCTGTAATTGAGCTTCCGGTAGTTTTTGGGGTGAATCTGTCGCTGCCGCCACACCTCCTCATACAGGCTGCGTATGACCGTAGGCAGCAGTGGGAAGCCAGCGGTGCGAGCCAGTGTGTTGCAGTACTCCCACTGATCCTGGTCCAAGATCAGCAGGTGGCGATGCTGGACTCCCCGCTCCAGCTTCTCCTGCAGCTCCCGCCGGACCTCATCCTCCATCTGAACTCGAGAGGGTAACGTGACCGAGCCCTCCAACACGGCCAGGGCGAACTGGACCTGCAGCGATAGAAGACAAACGAACCTAACAACCGAAGCTACCTAACAAACGGCATTCAAACCAGAGTAAGTCCGCTCTGCTTCTTAGAAAGTCGACACTGGGACTGCTGCAGTGGAGAACAGTGGGTATGACGGTACACTGCCGCTCACCTGGCAGTTGAAGTTGGGGAAGGGGCAGATGATCTTGCAGATGCCGATGAAAAAGAGCGAGGGGAAGGCGGGTGGCACCAGAAAGCGGTACAGAGGTGACATCATCTGGTCCTGGATGTCCAGACCCAGCTGGGCTGCGTCCAAGAATGGAAACCTGAAGTTATACCCGGTGCAGAACATCAGGACATCCGCCTCCGTCACCGAGCCGTCCTGGAACCCATCACAGTGTCAAATACAACCAACCAATCACAGGAGGCGTCTGCTTGAACTTTATTATATGCCGTGGCTTGCAAAAGTATTCGGCCCCCTTGAACTTTCCCACATTTTGTCACATTACAGCCACAAACATGAATCAGTTTTATTGGACTTCCAGGTGAAAGACCAACACAAAGTGGTGCACACGTGAGAAGTGGAACGAAAATCAGACATGATTCAAACATTTTTTACAAATAAATAACTGCAAAGTGGGGTGTGCGTAATTATTCAGCCCCTTTGGTCTGAGTGCAGTCAGTTGCACATAGACGTTGCCTGATGAGTGCTAATGACTAAACAGAGTGCACCTGTGTGTAATCTAATGTCAGTACAAATACAGCTGCTCTGTGACGGCCTCAGAGGTTGTCTAAGAGAATATTGGGAGCAACAACACCATGAAGTCCAAAGAACACAGCAGACAGGTCAGGGATAAAGTTATTGAGACATTTAAAGCAGGCTTAGGCTACAAAAAGATTTCCCAAGCCTTGAACATCCCACAGAGCACTGTTCAATCCATCACTCAGAAATGGAAGGAGTATGGCACAACTGTAAACCTACCAAGACAAGGCCGTCCACCTAAACTCACAGGCCGAACAAGGAGAGCGCTGATCAGAAATGCAGCCACGAGGCCCATGGTGACTCTGGACGAGCTGCAGAGATCTACAGCTCAGGTGGGGGAATCTGTCCACAGGACAACTATTAGTCGTGCACTGCACAAAGTTGGCCTTTATGGCAGAGTGGCAAGAAGAAAGCCATTGTTAACAGAAAACCATAAGAAGTCCTGTTTGCAGTTTGCCACGAGCCATGTGGGGACACAGCAAACATGTGGAAGAAGCTGCTCTGGTCAGATGAGACCAACATGCAAAACGCTATGTGTGGAAAACTAACACTGCACATCACTCTGAACACACCATCCCCACTGTCAGACATGGTGGTGGCAGCATCATGCTCTGGGGGGGCTTCTCTTCAGCAGGGACGGGGAAGCTGGTCAGAGTTGATGGGAAGATGGATGGAGCCAAATACAGGGCAGTCTTGGAAGAAAACCTCTTGGAGTCTGCAAAAGACTTGAGACTGGGGCGGAGGTTCAGCTTCCAGCAGGACAACGACCCTGAACATAAAGCCAGGAAACAATGGGATGGTTTAAAACAAAACATATCCATGTGTTAGAACGGCCCAGTCAAAGTCCAGATCTAAATCCAATCCAGAATCTGTGGCAAGATCTGAAAACTGCTGTTCACAAACACTAATCTGACTGAGCTGGAGGGCCGAATACTTTCACAAGCCACTGTCTCAGGTGGACTTCCTGCAGTGGAGGATTAATACAGTTGAGGTCAGTCACCTGGAAGCGAATTCTGCCGTCGTCCTCGACGGCCTCTACTGAGCTGGACTGTTGAATCCCATCAGGCAGAGGGAAGGTGATCCGAGGGCGGCGGTGACTCAGAGTCACCTGTGAGATGAAGAAAGAAAAACACGCCGTGAGTCTAAAGCTCCGTCACACGCTTTCTGCACTCGCTGCTCGTCCCAGGCTGCAGTTATGCAGCGTAACCTGCTGTTAACTTCTTTAAAGACACAATTATACGTCTTTGCTCTCGCTCCTCTTCCTCCTGCTCTCTAACCAGAGGCTTCCTGTGGCTTTGTCAAACAGTTAATACAAATGTAGGAACATGCACCCTCTGTCTATCACCTGGCACCTTCCTCCCATCAGAGGAGGAACCCACTGGTGCCCAGCTCGTCAGGCATTCTGGTAGGTCAACTAAAATATGCAAGAAATAAAGATAATAAAAATAATACATCTGCATGCAGATGTTAGTTGTTACCTGGGCACCCACATTGGCCAACTCGAGGGAAATATCCAGACCTGATGCTTTGGCTCCCAGAACGACCACCGACTGACCCGCAAACGGCTCCGCGAATCGATACGAGTGACTGTGGAGCACTTTCCCTGCACACAGAGAGGCACACTGGTTCTAGAATGGATCACTGGGAGGGATGCTCTGTGCAGCGGTGACAGCTGTTCCAGAGTAGGCGGGGTAAAAGTTGTCCCACAAGGCTGGCCGACATGATAGACGATGGGCAGGGCTGTGAATACTCAAGACTGTGTTTATTGAACGCAGTATGGAGAAGAACAACGAGAATTAAGAGACCTGGTGACCAGTGATGGACGTTAGACCAGCTGTAAAACTGGAGGCAGTTTGTTCGCACTAACCACAACAACTACCATCTTCATCTGATGCGGCCCCCCTGGCGCCAGCTGGATGCTCAAGGCAAAAGCTGACGGGAATAACACAACTCTCCGTTAGATAACAAAACAGCTGCTGTGACTCCTCATTCAAGGTCACCGGCGCCGACCGAAGATTGCTGACTTTTGTATAACCGGGTGAAGGGACACTTTCTCTCCGCTGAACACGGAACACACACGCATGTACACTGATGCAGACCTACACTCACCTCCACCCCCTCCAAACGCCTTCGAAGCTTATGTCTTTATGTTGTGAGATGTGCTGATTCGTGTGTTGAGGTGTTTTTTTCTGTTCTCCCTGTTGGAGCTCAGTCTGGGAGGAGTTCTTTTCTTCTCCTCGTCTTTCCTCATGTTGTGCATTTTCCATGGTTTCGGTTCGGGTGGCTGCTCGTGGGGTCGACCGGCCAGAGCTACCTAGCCTGACCGGTCTCCCCAATGTGATGTTTGTGCATTGTATATACGGTCGGCAGGGTGTCTGTCTTAATTGCCCCTTGGAGATAAATAAAGTCTCTCTGACTGACTTGGCTGAGCTGCCTGTTGAGCTTTCATTCAAACTTCTTTGGTGTCCAGAAGCCTCTGAAACCTCTGATTTTACCAACTGACTGAAACACGAAGGTTTCCCGGAGGTGTCTGAACACACCCGGAGGTACGCTTTGTGGGGATTCAGCACAAAATGAGAACAATGCTGGTGTGTCTAACCAGCCGCACGAACATTCCTGAAGCTCACACCGATGCGGCTCAGTTTGAAGTGTCACGATCTGCTGTGAACTCGCAAAACTGTCCACACCTTCAGTGTGCAGCAGACAGAAAGGAGAGGACTGAGCTCTGAGCGCAGTCCTTCCGCTGATCCAATCTAGCACCAGCGAACCTCGATTTACTAAACTGACACAGATTAATGCTAATCACAACTGAGTGTTTACAGATGTTACTGAGGCTTAAACACAAGAATAAACCTGATGAAGTCATCAGCAGTTCACTGCATTCATTCAATCTCCTCAGAAAAACTAATTTCTATCATATCAGGAACTTTTCATTAAAATACTTGCATGTTGTAAAAGCTTTGTTTTTGTTATGAAGGCATAAATGTTTGTTTTACCTTTAAAGTTCTCGATGCCTGGTATGAGTGGGATGTGAGGGTCTGAGTAGTGCCTTTAAAACAGACGAGAATAAGAGTCAAAATAATAAGAGCCGCTGAAGCAGGTGAACTCAGAGCTTTGGCACCCTCAAGTGGCAGCAGGGGGCAGAGGCTTTTATTCTGAAGTAAAGCCTACAGAGTCATTTCAAAATAAAATGCTCACCTTCAAATTAAGAGCTTTAATACACACTTTGTAACTTTCTGCTTTTGGATAAAATCTTTTTCTTTCTCCAAAACACAAAATCTTAGACTTCACAAGATTCACACTTTTATTTGTAAATGTCAACATTTAAAGACTTTTAAAAAAAGACATCGTATTAAAGTTGCACTCTGGAATAATTAGTGAATGCAAATATGTTGAATCGCAGCCACACGCTGACCAGGTGTTACGGCTCATTAGCCAATGAGATGCTGTAGTTTAACCTTTGATTTAATGAAACTTTAAACTACGTCTGAGACCATCAACTCATGGGCGAAGTGTTGGTCACAGAACCAGATTCATATGTTTCTGCACTATTACTTTTATTTGCCATCGCCCCCTGCTGGTCATTAGAACACAGTGTGTGATCTCACCCCGAGCAGACGAAGACAGAGTCAAACGTCTCAGTTTTCTGATGACCTGAAGAATCAGATGATGTCACTTCCCACGCCGTCCTCTCCTCCACCTCGCCCTCTGTCGTCACATTGACGGGCTTCACGCTTTCCACGACAGTGTTGAACTGACAAAAAGAGTCACAGTGAGGACAGTGGCGCCGCGGGAGGTTTACTTTTGTATTGTATCATATTTGAGACAAATCAGATCTCTTAGAAAATTCAAGGCGAGCAGATTTTTATTGACGGAGCTGAAATCGTCTCCAAGTCTCTGATGATCCTGGGGTCCACACCGGTGGCAGGTACTCAGGTGTTGGCTTTATACTAGAGAGCAGTTTAGTCATATTAGAAACTCCATCAGTGATGAAGCATCAGGCTGTTCCTGGATGCAGCGATGTTTCCTTATGTTTAACACCCTGTTACAGCCAATCAGATCACTGTCACGGCTTCATAAACCAGAACTAAAAAAACTCAGGACAACAAACCACAATCACACTTGTTTCTTTCAGGGATTCTGAAAAATAACCAGCCACGTAACATTAACCAGGTCAGGACTACTATTGGATGGATGGACTTTGTGTTTAGTGCTGTGACGTAGTGTTTGTGTAACTGCTGGATCTTTATTTGGGTTTTATGGTTTATTTAATACAGCGTGTGCCTGCAGAGGGAAGATAAATGAGATGATGAATAAAGAAAAAGGAAATGAAAACTTTGTTTTGAGTTTGAGTTCGGTGTGTCACACCAGGCTTTATGAACAGCTTTCATTAAGCCTGAGGAAGCAACACCGCTGGTACATTTTCATGTACAAAGCATGCTGGGTAATCGCCTTGATTATCTTTATTGCCTATGAACAGCTGTTAGGATTGTCGCTCGTGTTTCTGGTACCAGGAGTTAAAACAGAAAGTTCAAACGAACGAAAGCTGCTTTTATCCAGCTGGGAAACTTGAAACCTCAGATCTTCTACTGCAGAGTGCGTCTGTGATCCTGATCAGGTCTCTGTTGAACCAGATTTTACTCTCTTGGTTAAATACAAGAAGCAGTCGAGCTGGTTGGAGCCTCGCTTCAGACTGTGGCTCGGAGTTAACATCTCCATGGTCACGGCTGTGGTCTTTCCCACAAACTCCACACTCTTACTTTTTACAGATGCAGACATTTTTCAATTTTCAATCCAATCAATGTTATTTAAAACAACAGCTGCCTCCAGGCGCTTTATACTGTAAAGACTCTACAATAAAACAAAGAAAGGAATAAAACATTACTGAGTCGATATTTTCCTTTCTGCACTCGAAGGGCATTAAATACAAAATGCTGCCATCGATAAAGATTTTAACTGAATCGTAAAGTCTACACGTATCACAAAGCAGCCACCTGCACCCTTCACTACATGACATCACAGACTGTGTTATGAGAGCCAGCAGCTTAAATCTGACTCAGAAGAATCCCGGGCGACTCACCCGGATGTGAGGCCGGATGCCGTGGCTCTGGCAGTACCTCTCCAGGTACCTCTGGACCTCCTGATGGGGCAGGAAGCTGCTAAGCTGGGGTTCAAAGGGGAAGTCCGGGAACATCATCACCTCCTTGGGCAGGTTGGTCCTGTCGGAATATCAGAAAACATTAACTGCGAGCACAGAAAGGAAACTTCACTGCAGCTCAGCCTTTCTCTCATGTTCATGTCAATGTAGGAGACTGCAGAGAGAACGAGCCCACAGGAAAGGACCAGAAACAACTGTGACTTTAGGCTTTAGTCGAGTCAGGACTGAAGCGTTAAGGATGACTTTACAACATAAATTATGCAAAGCTGCTCTCGTGAAACGTGGAGCCGGCCCTCGCAGCGAGCCCATTGATGGTCTGCAGACAGGTGAGCCTACCTGAGGTCTCTGTACATGCTGCTGTGCACCGGCAGCCCGTTATCAAGCTTTCCAACACGTTCGTCGTAACACCAGGTGCCGCCTACGTTTTCAGAGAGCTCGAACACCACCGGAGGAGCGAAGCGGCCTGAACGGGACAGGATGTGCCTGGCTGCGCAGAGTCCGGCTGCTCCGGCACCGACCACCGCCACCCGCTGCAACATCAGGTCTGTGCTGGTGACTCCACCTGAACTGAGCACGGAGACACAAACGCTCGAGATGAGGTCTGGTTATCACAGTGAGTAAACAGCTAATAATGAGTGTGCATGCTGTATGAATACAGTACGTGCTGATCTGCTCCACCTCATTTCCTGTTGTAAATCTATGTTCCAGTGCTACGTGCTCACATCAAACACAGCACACAGACGGATAACTAGGTGATAACTGATTAATGTGAAATATTTCCGAGCATCAAAATGATCATTTTGCTGGTTTTGGCTTTGCGCTCCAGAAGAAGCCCCGCCCACCTGCTGATTAAATGTTCTGTTTATGAGGGGCAGCCAATCAGAAGAAAACTGGCATAAAGAGGCAGGAGTTGAAACTAGCGGAACTGAAGCTCTGATTATTTTGAACCCTGTTAGAGTCAAAGAATAAAAGGTATGTGAGTCTAAAGGTCACAGGTGACGCTGTGACTCTAATTTACAGTTTAACCCAGCCTGGACTTGGACCTGCAGGCTGCCACTTTACAGTCCGAGCCATTAGCTCCGCTCCTCCACACTTCACAGATGAGCAAATATGAACAACTCCCTTATCAGAATGCTAACAAGCTAACTCAGCCACAGTTTCATAAATCACGTTTATTCAACCCCATATTGCAAACTGCGCATGCCCACACCAGGCGGCCACAAACTTTTTAAGTCTACCTGTCAGTGCAGATCGCTCCGTTGCTACATTAAAGTCGGCACTTTTAAACAAAACACCCCGATTAATCAGTGATGATGAAGAAACAAGGAGTTACCGTCGTCCCGCTCAACCGTTTCCCGTCCCGGTGTCCGCGGAAATCAGCGAAAACATCGCTTAAACGTTAGCTAACTGAACCGCTGGGCGTCCATCCAGGTACCGAGGCACGACTCACGTCTCAACACCGCTCGGTTACCGCACAACGGCCCTGGTGTTACGGAGAAAACGGTCCCGTGTCTTCCGCTAACGTAATCAAAAAACTTCCGGAGTCCTTCACAATAAAAGCAGATAAGGACGTTTAGCGCCAGAAAACGGCAAAAATAATATTTTATTTTATTCTATTTTCAATACATTTTAGCTTCATTTAGTTTCCTGAGTGGATTTACTTTACTCAGATGTATTATTATGATTTTGTTTCCTCTGTTACATTTTATTGCTGGTATTATTTTATTTATCTATCGAACTATTTGTGTATTTATTTTAGCTGAACAGTCCTCCGATCAACGCTTCCTGTTTTTAGATAAACGGACTTTATTTTGAAAAAATAGTTCGATGATAGTTTAGGTTTTAGTGTATTAACCATCCTATTACGGCTGCTTGTCGTGTCAGTATTTAACAAAAATGACTTAAACTACATGTCCGGGTTTCTTTTGAAGTTAATTTTATAATAAAATGTTTGTTAGCTGTATCAGCCAGCTGACCTCTGAGAATGGTGTTTGCACTCCTCACTGCACGTTCAGTCCTCGGTCCTTCATCCGTTTTGGTTCCCGCTGCTTTAGATGTCCTGTCATAAACACGCGCTTACACTCTTACAGGTGAGAGCAGCAGGTAACAACGCACCCTCAGTCAATAAACAGAGGGACCAGGAGGGCTCTCTGTCTGTGTTTGTGCTCAAGGCTCTGCAGCCAGGGATGCTTTGTCTTGTTGCTCTGCTCTTTTCCACCGGATCTGTTTTCGGGATCTAAATCTAACGGGATCTAAAAATAGAAAAGAAATATTGAGTTTCCTCTTTAAATGCACATCATGAGCCACCCTGGTGGTGGTCAGAGGGCCCGGTGGCGCCAGTGTCCGGCAGCCTCGCCTCTGTCAGTGCGCCCCAGGGTGGCTGTGGCTACAATGTAGCTGCCATCACCAGTGTGTGAATGGGTGGATGACTGGATATGTAAAGCGCTTTGGGGTCCTTAGGGACGAGTAAAGTGCTATATATAAATACAGGCCATTTACCATTTACCCTCACTGAATCACTGTTTAATGCTCTGCTGTAGAAGTGACGATGGAGGGAAACTTTGTGATGAAGTGAGATCTTGTTCATGTGACCTGCATCAGAGCACCTCCTCTTTCCCTCACGTCAGGATATTTCAGGTCAAGGAAAAGTGGTTAGGAAAAGGAGGTAGGTCATTGTTGTTATTGAGCAGACTAACTCAAAGAAAGCCTGCATAACTTTATTGGTTTAATCAACACGCAAACAGAAACAAACTCTTCACATTTCAAACATTTTATTAGAACAAAGGATGAAAACAGGCCGAGCCACTCCCCTCTCCCGGAACACTTCAGTCACACTCAGGTGATCGCCGCAGATAAAAGCACGCCCCCATCAGGCAGGAGCTCACTCTGCAGCTGAGCAGCGGGACTTTAAATGAAAACCTCTGCTGCCTTTTTGTTTTCAGTCTGTTCCTGCTGAGACCATAGGACTGACAAGTTCCAGGAAATAGTTACATCCATAAATCCAGGAGAAATTTTAGCTTGAAAGCTTGATGCTTCCCATCAGCTGATCAGCTCCCACCTCAGTTCCTCCCCCACGGTCTTTAATGTTCACGTGAATGGAGAAATAACCTCGGTATCCCAGCAGCACTCCAACTCCGTCGTCATTTTGCGGCAGCATTGCCGTGCGGCGGGGCCGTCTGTGGCTGCGCCTGCGTTTGCTCAGCGAGCGCCTGCTGCAGCCGCATGCGTTTTCGTGAGTAGTGCTGCCAGTGCAGCAGCTGCTGCTCGTCGATGAACTTGGCGCACTGAGCGTTCACCAGCTCCTTCCTGAAGTGCTCGTACTGCAGCAGCTCCAGCATGTGCAGGCAGTGGGGGTACCTGCAGGGGGCGGAGTCACAGAGCAGAGGTCAGCTGACAGAAGGGTTTACAAACATCACAACTTTATCCTCAAAGAGAAAATCATCTAAACTGAGGATCAAACACGTCGCCGTACTTGAGGAACTTGGCATACTCAGGCTCCTTCCAGTACAGCAGGTACTTCAGGTAGTTGATGAAGGATCTGTCCCTCAGGATGCCTCTCTGAGCCAGAACTGGAAACAAACACACAAAACCTACGTTAAACTCTGGCAAATGTGAAGCTGCGAGTTTCTGATCACAGAGTCACTCACAGTTCAGGTAGTTGGGATTCGCCAAACACTGGACGAACTCGAGCTCCAACTGGAAACGGTTCCTGGCCTGCTCGTCTGCACCGGGAAGCACACGAGTTAATCAGCAACACGACATTCAAACCCACAGCACAGATTATCCTGAGATCATCAGGAGCACATGCTTTTAACTTCTATTATTTAATTACATTAAATCTAAACCTCAATAATATCTCGAAGGATTCAATCCACACTACACACACGCCAACGTAACACACCCACGAGAACGCATGTTTCTATACCAGACTCCATTAGAAAAAAAGCAATTTAGAGGCACATTGTTTTAATTCAACCTGAAAACTTTAAACAGGCAGCTCGGAAATTAAATTTAATATAAGGATGAATTATTGAGAGCCGAATTAAAGAGCGAGTCTCGGAGTACAGTCTTCAGCGTCCATGCCAGGTCATCTTCAAACACACTTACGTTAGCTGATAAATCAGGTTTGTTGTCAATCGGAATAATTTCTTGGGACGTTGTGATCAGGACAGAAAAGGCCGACACTCTGCAGCCTGACTTAAAGCTAATCATGAGTGTACCAACGTCTTTAACAACACATTCAATTACATTTAAAAACAACCAGAACCTTTACTCCCTTTAACTCCCTTAAATAAAACGTAATCCCAGCGCCGCCAGACTCCATTCAATTTAACGCCGCTTTGTCTGTTTGCGGAATGCTTCGTAGTCAAAGTAGAAAAACAAGACGGAGCACATGTAAATACCATCAGCTGCTCACAGACACGCTTTTAAAGCCAACAAAGTAAAACTTACGGATTTATTTATGGCGTTTTGTCTTACAGGAAATATTAGCCTAGCAGATTAGCATTGACCAAACAATCTGCTACAAACCTGTTTCCATGGCTACAGCCTGAAGGCAGCAGTATGTAGATGAAGGACTTAAATGTCAGATAAACTGTATAAAAACTTAAGAAGCACAAATAAGAACAGAAAGCCGGGTTTTGCCCTTTTCGGGTTTAATCGCCGCCATCAAACGTGTGCAGACTAAAACGTAAAACGTTAAACTTCCGCCTTCGCGACATCCACGTCGCTTTACGCTGCCTGCTGTTCGTTGTTTGGCCTCAAGAGGGAGGCAACAGCAGGCAAAAGATAAGCGCCTTCAGACTCCCACAGATATGGAACGCCAGGACTGACATAATGAATTAATAAATACACCATTAAATAATTAATTAAATGTGGCAATAATTAATTAAATAAATATTTACAACTCATTTAATTCAATAATTATTGGCACATTTAATAATTATTGACATATTTAATTAATCCATCCATCCATTCGCTTCCGCTTCTCCTTTTCAGGGTCGCGGGGGGCGCTGGAGCCTATCCCAGCTGTCATAGGGCGAGAGGCGGGGTACACCCTGGACAGGTCGCCAGTCTGTCGCAGGGCCAACACACAGGGACAGTTTTTGTGTCTGTAGGGCTGTTTGATGACGGTTTGGACTCTGAGAGATGAGGACACACCCACATCTGTTCCATACTGCAGCCATTGATGGTGTTACAGCTCTGAGGCAGCTTTGGGGCATCAGACGCACACACTGGAAAACCAGCACCTGGACTTCATGCAGGAGAGACGGCCTCAGTGATTTAGGTTCATAAGCGAGTTCAAACATTTCTGGCCTCTTATCACTTAGATTCCTTAATCTTAACAGTGAATGCATTTAAAGCAGGAACTGCACACCTAGCTGTCAAAAGTTTGGCAGCATGAGTACTGTAAAGTTTTGTAGGGTCCTTGTTAAAAATTCCACAAGCACCACGTTTGTCATATAAAGTTCCATTTTTTACAGTACATTGTTGAAATTATAAACTATATATTCTAGTTGTCCACTTGTCAGTAATCTTTGAGTAAATGGATGTCAGTGATAAATCAGTGGTGATTCACCTGCAAATGTTTTTAACAAACTTTGTTTTTTGTAGAATTCATCGGCAGCTGTGGAGAGATGCATTTGAATATCTTCTGGTTCCACTTTTCCTAACCTGGAAGCTGAGGATGGCTGATTGCTGACAAGGACGCACCTCAGTGCTTATCATGGGTGTTACATCCTCTGTGCAGGAATTCCAAAGAAAACGAGAGCAACGAGCACTCGTTAAGAGCAGCCAGAAATCTGTCCCTTTCTGGCAGCTGTGGAAACGTCCAATAAGAAAGTTTGCATTCTTAGAACAATGCTGGTCATGTGTGATGTGTCATCATATGAGGATATTACATTTTGACCTAATTCTGCTCAATTAAGTGTTTTGATCGTTGATCCAGTACGGCAGCTTTGTGTTGTGCTGCAAGTTAAAAACCATTGTCCTCATGAGCACAGCATCTAACAACTCTCCTTTACAAAAGTCGATTGACTTTAACTGGACACAATGGTTTCCAGTGGGAGCAGTGTTGGGGAGTAACGGAATACATGTACCGCCGTTACGTATTTGAAATACAAAATATGAGTAACTGTATTCCGTTACAGTTACCGTTTAAAAAGGTGGTATTCAGAATACAGTTACTTTGTTGAAATAAATGGATTACACTGCGGTACTTTCCTGTTTCATATTGTTGCGGGTCAGGACTGTTTGGGTTTTGTTTGACAGCTACGTTCTGTTGTTCCAGGCGGCAGCGTTACGGTTGCCATGGTTACAGGGCGACGCTCTCTCTCTCTCTCTGTGACTGTGTGTTTCCTGGGTGAGAGAGGCCTTTTCGTTGTTGTTGTTGTTGTTGTGCTAAGCTAACAGGCAGAATGCTACAGGTATAGCTCTAAAGAATGTAGCATCATGGGCAGTGTAGTCCGTGTTGCAGGGAGAATGGACTGCCATACACGTTATGGGTCTGTGA